ATTTTCTCCTTTTATTTTCTCTCTTGGCCATGTGCTCGAAGTAATTTTTGGACCGACCAAATTTTCTCTCTCCCTTTTTTTCTTATGTTGGCCGAATTTTCTTTCTCTCTCCTATATATTTATAGGAGAGTTTCCTTGTCCTCTAAGGACAAGGATAGGGGTGGCTATGAGTCCATAAAGGACTTTATTTTGTTGCTTCCTTATCTACCAAGAATGAGGAATTATTTTATATGTTCATAATTTTATTATTATCTTTAAAACGTTCAACCTTATCCAATAAGGTTAATGTTTATCTTTAAAATATTCAACATTATCCAATAAGGTTGATGTTTATCTTCCCACCAAAATTATCTCAATACTCTTAATTAAATCTAATAGGCCAAAACTATTTTAAATTAATTAATTTATTTAGACTATACAAATAAATATTCTTAGATTATTTTAATGGGGTTCACATTATGAAACAAGTTTCTCAAAATACCCTTTAACCCAAATTAGGAAACTCCTTTCCTTTTAGGTTCTTTATTTCTAAATTTGAAACTAACTTTCAAATTAGGAAAATGATTTCTAAAATAGGAAACTTTCCATTTTAAGAAACTTTTCATTTTAGAAACTCTTTCCAAAACAAGAAACCTTTTATAATTGGAAACTTTTTTCAATATCTTTACTTCTCATTTATAATGTGAATACTTAAACTTTTGTGTGTGACTCAATAGGCTCTTAGATATGTTGACAATGTATCAAGAATAAAAGACTCATATTTTATCTCTTGACACATAAATCAAGATTGGCCTATAGGAAAGCATCATGACTACTCAATTATCTAGAAGGATTAGTTAATCCATTATTACCTTTCATGAGTATAATTACCATACAATTCAGTCCTCATGTCAACTTATCACGAGTATGATCTCGAACTTGATTGTTAGTTTTGTTCGATTATGATCACATAAGTTTTCTTTAATTTCTAAATGTCTTAGCTCTTAGGGTAGACCAACTATGCTATATTAGTGTACTTCTACTATGATCATAGATTTCTCGAGTAGACACTTATCGAAGTGCAATGTGATTACTCCTTTAGCATACAAGGAATGACATGTCTTATCCTAGTCATACATCTATCTCAATTGGATTCCTAGTGTAGCCAATGAATCGCCCACGTGCAACTCTTTAATGGGTCCATAGAAATGAGTGTCAAAGTGCATAAGTCCCTCAATGAGATAACCGTGACGACTTTAAATCCAAGGACCATTTATACCAATCTCGTATAAGATTTCTATAGACTAAAACCAAATGAGTTCTCATGGTGAGTCAAGTCCAAGTGATACGTTCTCTAATATAAATCACCGAAGTGCTTGCTTTAGCATCACTATGCCAATAAGTGTGAGATCTCCTATCGCTATCATATAGCATGAGCATAGCACTCACAAGTCTATCCGCATTTGGTCAATATTCATTCTTGATAATGCTACGACTTAGGACATTTAATGATATCATTTATGTGCATTAGTGTTTGTCTCACATCTTTCGATCAATCACTATTGCAAATACATATCATAAGGACTTCTATCTAATTCTCTTGTATTTATCAACATGTAAAATAAGAATCAATAGAATGATTTTTTTTATTATTATTAAAATAAATGATGCAATAATATATTAACATGAGCCCATCCAAACATGGTTGGATCTTGAGCATTAACACTAACAAATTAGGGGTCTAAAGGCTTGTTGCATATGCTAAATGCAATCATGATTCCTATGAAAATGATTTAGGTTTTATTTTATTTGTTTTGCTCGAGGAATAGCAAAGTTTAAGTATGGGTATTTGATGAGTGCAATATTAACATGATTTTTATACTCTATTACATTAAACTTTCTAGTGTTTATTATATTATGTTAGGTTAATTAAGAATAAGATGATGGTTTTATGTTTTGTAGGAAAAATGATGAATCGGAGTATGAAAACCTAAAAACCAAAGCAAGAAAGAGAGAAGTCACCAAAAAGGCTTAGAAGAGTCACACGACCATGTGAAATCACAAAGGAAACGACTACTAGCCGTGTGACATGAAAGAAGAAATCGTGTGGATTACTTAACAATAAAAGTCATACGAGCATTAGCATTCCACACGACTAGAGGAACAAATCTCATATGACCATGCGTGTGTCACAACCTAGCACAATCTAAGAGAAAAGAACATTATACAAGTAGTAGACATTGCATATGGTTTATAGTGAAAAGTCACACATTCGTGTCTCACAACGTAAAACCATTTACATGGGCGTAAGAGATTTAACATGACTTGAAAGCAAAGGTCTACATAAGTAGCAAGGAAGTAACACGTAATGAAGAACAAAAACACATGGTCATTTGCCTCTTATGAGCAAATCATGTAATACTAATTCTTCAATGCTCTAAATTGTTTAACATTAAGTAATAAATTATGTAATTTTATTCAAGTAACCCATGTGACAATGTGAGGTCGACACCTATATGATATAACTCTAGCTTTAGCTATAAATAATGATGCTAAGGCATTATTTCGAGATTTTCACTTTTGGCATACACCATTGATAGAAAAATCTCTCTATATCACCTATTATGAGCAACTCGAATTCTATTCTTAGTTTAATCAAGTTGAAGCTTTGGGTTAAATCGTTGTGAGATTATAGGTTTTGTTTATAAACCTATCTTGTTTGGGTATTTTATATTTTTTTGTATGATTGGTTCATGGTTATGTGATTAAATTGATTAAAATACATGCTAATTATTTGATCATAGTAACTTACTCGCTAGCTAAGTATTCAAGTTTGTATAATTGCTTGTCTAAAATTACCTTTGGTAGTAACCACATATTGATGATTATTTTTCACATATTCGTTCAATTTCTTGAAAAATATAAAATCGAGTTACATCTTCTTTAGCGCTTAGGAAGGTGGCTTAACTTTACCTCTCTTTCTCTAATTAATGCTTTTATTGGATTAAATCTATTTAACACATAATAGGTTGTTTAGTAGCTAGATAATTAATCGGGTATCGTATATTTGGTTAACGACTAAGTAAGAAAAGGTCGGGGATAATGTATATATTGTTGTCTTACGTGAATATTCATAATTAGGATAAGTTAATATTTAAATCGATGATCGGTGACATACCGAAGTTCAACTAATGTTTATTTAATATTTTCATTTCTTATAACTTTAATTGCTCACATATACTTCAAACACAAAAAACCCTTTTTTACACTACAAGAACACTCAACTAAAAGAAACAATCAACTAAGCCTCCTTCTCTACGGGTTCAACCATTACTTGCCCTAATTATATTATTATGTTTAAAGTTCTCGTGAGGACAAATACAAATTATTAATTTGTTAGCAATACAATACGCCATCAATAATCATATATTTTTTTATAATGAGTTTTTGTTAAATTTGGTTAAAAGCACATCAACTAAATTTATTGGTTAAAATATTATTTCTATTGAACAAATTAATGTTTGTAAAAAAATTATGTTCTTGGTTTTTATATAAAGGTTGGACCTAAGTTTTAAATTAAAAGAACTTCGTTATAATTATTAATTATTTAGACAATAAAGGACACGATGCATAGTGGCTCACATTCATTGCATTTGGAATGTGAGACATTACCGGTAATATTTTCGACCTACTCAAGTCCTAGGTTGGAGGTATTACATTCTAGGCCTAACTATTTTGGCTTTTAAATTTATGGCATTTGTTGGACAACTTTAGTAAGTTAACAACTATGTGTGCTTGGTAGTTTATAACTTGGTTTCATGGTTTAAATTAATGCAATGACTTAACACGAGATAAAGGTTTAATTAAATTGTTCCAAATATGAAATTTGAAATGGTTTTAATTGGTTTGTAATGGTTAAATAATTTTGTGACTTATGAAACCTAAATGGGCTTTCTAGGAGTTTAATTAAAAAATTAGCTTTCAATGAGTTTAGGTCAAGGTTTTTAATTGATGTAATGGGCTACCCATACTCATACCAAAATATGATCCTTAAAAAAAAAAAAAAAATTTATGAACTTCACTTGTTTCGAAAAATCAACTCTTGATCCGTGATGAGTTTGTACATATCAATACCAAAACATGATTTTAAAGGAAAGGAATTTTGTGGGCTTCACTTGGTTCCAAAAATAATCTCTTGATCTATAATGGGTTACCCATAGCGTATGATCCTTAAAGAAAATAAATTTTATGGACTTCACTTGGTTTTGAAAAATGAATTGATTAATTCTCCATGTCTTAAAAACTATTTATTTAATTCTTTAATCACAATTAATCATGTTTATATTATTTTATTTTTAAAAATATATTCTTTTCTCATCAATATTTCAATAATATATTTTATTTGTTTTATTAAAAATAAAAAAAATTAAAATCAATATAAAATAGATAAAAAGACCTAAATAATGATTTTTGAAATAGATGAGTCTAATTAATTTCTTTTTTAAACTAGAAGATTAATTTATAATTTACTCACCAAAATTCTAGCAAATAAACAAAAGTCAAAGGAAAAAAATAAAATAAAAATCAAGGAAAGCTCTATTTACATTTTGCAAATAGAAAAGAAAATAAAAACCCATTTCTCCTTTTCCCCCTCTTTCCTCTTCCCCTCTTTCCATGGAGAGTTCCATTGCCATCTCTAGATAGGGGCAATTTGCTTCAAGGCACTCTCTGTCTCTCTTTCTCTTTCAAGATCAAACATTCTCTCAGCAACACACGCTAGCTTTAAGGTATGCGCTTCTCTTTCTTGCTCCTCCTCTTCTTCCTCTTTTTAACACTCTCCAAAACCCTAAATTTCTGATTCTTTACTTCATACGATTAATCACTAGTTATTAGGTCTAAATTTTGAGTCTAATTAATCATTTCTGTCTTATTACCTAATTCATATTTTTAATGTATTTGTTACTGCAGGATAAATCTTGCGCTACTTTTTTTAAAAAAATTGTTTTTGGAAGAATCTAATAATGGACGGTAATAGGAGGCAATTTTTCAGGAAACCAGTAAATACTCAATTTAAACGACAAGGGGTGAGTATTAGTAGTAGGAAAGGGAAATGGAATGATTCTCGCGAAGAATTTTCAGGAAATTCTCTTCTTGATGATACTGTTTATAGGATACTCTGTCCTTCGAGAAAAATCGGGAGTGTTATTGGAAAAGGTGGGAATATAGTGAAAGCTTTAAGGGAAGAGACACAGTCGAAAATTACAGTTGCTGATTCTGTTCCAGGTTCGGATGAGAGAGTGATTATTATATATAGTTCTTCTGATAAACCTCCAAGAGAAAAGGATGGTGATGAGGGTTTGGCTAATGAGAATCAGCTGGAAGAATTGGAACCACATTGTGCCGCGCAGGATGCACTTTTGAAAGTTCATGACCGGATTGTTGAGGAAGATCTTTTTGGTGGAATGGCATCGGATGATGATAATGAGAATAATGTTGTTGCGGCAAGACTTCTTGTTCCGAACAATATGGTAGGTTGTGTTTTAGGAAAACGGGGAGATGTTATTCAGAGATTAAGAAGTGAGACTGGTGCAAACATACGTGTTCTTCCTGCTGATCATCTCCCTTCTTGTGCTATGGAAACTGATGAATTGGTCCAGGTAATATATGTTTCTCTCTTTGCTTCATTGAGTTTTATTGGATACGAGGCTGGCCCCATTGTTATTTCCTTTTATTTTAATTCTTTTCCCTAGTAACTGAATTGTAGTTATTATGTTGGCTTTTTGGTTGACTAGAAATTGTATAGAGAAGTGGACGTTGAAGTGGCAAATTCTAAAAATGATGACATGACTTTTTACCCACCATTTGATAAATTACCAAAGGTTTCAAGGGATATTTTGAGTAATTGAGACACCAAAGTTTGTTGGCATTATGTCGTAGTGTAGATTATTCATGTTTGTGCCATTGACATGTGAAAGTGACGATGTAAATGAATATGAATCATGTTATTTCTCTCTCTTTAAGTTGGCCTTGCTTGATAATTGTAATTTTTCTTGAACCTTTTCAAAAGAAAGTATCAATTTGATTTTCACAATGAGGTTGTAGTAAAGGCATGTCTTGACATTGATGGTACTGCATTCTTGTATGTACCAAAAGCATGCAATCTGTTATATGCATGCTGGAGAAGATATGTTGTTTATCATGCATGGAAGTTCAACTGGGGAAGATGTGCTAATTCTTTCGTTCCTTCTTTTTGCCAAGTGCTGTTGTTATTTAGGCTCCTAGTCCTTAGAGTTATGTTGTCAGTGAACCAGGATAACTAGTTGTTAAGTATGTGGATTCAGGACTCTCATTTGCGTTTCCATACAAGATGAAGAGGCTTTAAAAGGTTGCCTTTTTCTTGAAAATGTTAAGATACTTAACTTGTGGCCTTGTGACGTGCTGGAATATAAAGTCCTATTCTGTAGTTTTATCACTTGAATATCACTGCTTCAGTAACACAATTGCTAAGGTGAAGACCAATCAGGGAGTGCTTCCTCAACAACCCCAACCCCCCCCCCCCCCCCAACCCTCAGCATTTAGGATTTCTGGAGACTACTTGCCAGTGGTTTGATTCTGCATAACGAGAACGCTTGAATAGTTTCAGGCTTGCGAGGTATTGAGCCCAGACATATCAAGTTGCTAGGAACAAATGCAAAGCCTCCTCTTTTTAGTTAAGAAATGCAGAGTGTGCAGCTCTAACTTTTTTTACCGCATTATACGTCAAGTTCGTGATTTGCTGATGAAATAGTAATGCAGCTCTTCCAATTGCAGTCGAGTCTTTCTAATAATTCAAGTATGAAATGACATCTGAGAAGAAATACCTTGGTTTGCAAAATGTCCTTTCGCCTCTGCAACCTTTGATGGTAACTGGAGCACAATGGGTTTAAGAAGTGCGAGCAAACACGTATTTGAAGTTTGTAATCAATTATGTGAGACAGAGTATGGAAATATTCTTTCAGTGGCTTTTGAGATGTTGACCCTCAGTGCTTCTTTCTACATGAGCAAAGCTAATTGAGATGCCCAACATCCCAAGGACTTAGCAAAATCTTCACCAGAAGGCCATTAGGATTCTTGGAATTCTTTTAATGCTTAATGGCAATAGTTGAATAAAGTAGTATTATTAGATCAAGTAGATGAGTTCCTTCTGTGGAAGATTGTTGGGTTCGTTGAAGTCACATATACGATCTGAAAGTGATCGATTGAATTTTGATATGACCATATCATCCAATGGATTGTACTCTAGTTGACTCAATACCTAAGTGGATATGTTAACGTTGTTTGGCTAAAGTCCTTTGGCACTGACATCTTTATGCTTTCTACTGATTTCAAAGCATTGCTAGATTTCTTACTTGAGTTCCGCCTTGTGAATCAGCATGGTGGAATGCAGGTCTTCTTCGTAAGATGGGACTTCTTCGGCTGTTTGCTTGCATCTCATGAGCAGTTGACATAGGTGCTTTCCATGAACTGTCCTCAAAGACGTGACAATGATTTCCCCAACAGAGCTCAAGTGATCTGCTTGACTGAATGTTCTTTGTATTGGAAGGACAGTTATAGTTTCAAGTTTGAGTTTGAGAGATACATGCTGAAATGAGTATGCCCCTGCAAGATCTTAGCATTGGTTGGTTAAGTCATGGCACTTGTGAAGGATGAGGCCAAACATGCATAAGAGGTGGGTGGAGTGACCTTTCCTCATCATATTGTTATATCTAGTGCTGGAAGACTGGCCCACTATGGAATTAATAGCATTTTTGAAGGACATTTAGTTTTGTATTTTGACCTCTTTCCCTTTTTTCTCTGTCATATTATTTTATGTTTAGTATGTGTTGTTTCATATTCTTTATTGTGTCTTATAGAAGATGGATTGGATTTTCCCTGACATTAGTAGATAAGTTATTCATAATGAGGTTCACTTTCTCTATTCAGCGACCCCCAGCCAGATTATAAGTGTTACCTCTTCTCCCTTGAAATGGAAGCGTTACATGTGGAGAGTTTATAGCGTGGAGTAGGACAGAGCTATGCTATGATCCCATCATATAGCCTGCTATTGTCATATGATTCGACTATTTTACATACTAACTTATATTTTCGTATGATTTTTGTTGTGATTGGATTACACCCTTGCCCCTACTGCATTATTTAAGTTTGGGAGATTTTATCGTTGTTTGATAATTTTGAAGCTATTTTTTTGATACTATATCTAATCCTGGCAGAAAAGTGGTGGATAGTCTTGCATATTTATGGGAGCACAAGTGAACTAGTTCTTTCTCTTTTTAACGGGTTTAATCTACAAAAATGTCCTTTGTTTAGGAAGAAACAGTTTAATAGGGTTGGCCATAATGATACTGACACTTAATTCTTAGATTCATTAAATTGTTAGTTTAATTGCATAACCTGCTCCTGGTGGTTTCATTCTGGTTGAATTTGATGACAGATTTTGTCTAGTGGATTTTAAGACGGTGGATTGCTTTACTAGGATTGGTGGTCTTTGCCTTTTGGAAGGCTTTACCTGCTATGACCAATGGTCATTACTGTGGTAGACTTTCATGTTGACTTTTCCCTAGATATTGTAAATTTGTAATATTTCTCAATTATTAATGAGTGTCTGGTTGGGGTAGTATATGAAGTACCTTTTGCTGAGCTTTAAGTCGGGAAGACTTTCAAATGGGTTGTTGCTAGAAGTTAACATCTATCCTGAGTTGGATTGGTGTGTATCACATACCATGGTGCCCTAGTACTTGCAGGACCTTTAAACTGCTGCTAAGTCGAAAGCATGTGGTAGTATGGTGTGTGTCTATTTCATGCAAGAAATTGCTCTAAAACAGAAGCCTAGGAGGGTGTAACTTGTCCGACATCTGCATTACAAGCTGCAAACTTTTTCTACTCATAGTGTGACTCTGATCATGCCTCGTTGCTGGTCCAGTATTTGATGATTGTGTGAGCTCACTGCTTTCGAGCATTTGTATGCAGAAGCATCATCGTTTGCGTTGGTGTGCATGGAGACACGAGTATGAATTTGATTGCTGCATAATTATTTTTTACGTTATGACATTTTATTATGGAATTATAGCTATGTGTGTGCGCACCTCACATATTACTCTCTTTGTAACATTTCCAAGTTCATTTTATGAAATGTTGCATGTTGATTTTTCCCTTCTTCATTCATCTATGGAAAAGATGGAATTTTTTTGCAACTCCCTACAGAGTGTAATTTGAAAAGTTATATTTCAGATCTCTGGAAAACCTGCTTTGACAAAGAGGGCACTTTATGAAATATCCACTCTATTGCATCAGAATCCACGCAAGGACAAACCTCCAAGTGTTCCTATGCCTTATGGTGGTCGAACTTTTCATCCTCCTGGTGATGCCATGGCAAACATGCTTCCACCAGGAAATCCAATGTGGCCTCATCGTAACTCTACTTCCCACGGTATGCCACCCATGCCATGGATTAGGGAATTTGGGAATCACCCTTCAGAATTTGGTCCAGGAGGAAGGGAATTTGCAAATCAACCTTCAGAATTTGGCCCAGGTGGCTTTAATGGTGTTCCTCCAGGACATGGAAGGGAGCCTTCAGCTGAGTTTTCGATGAAAATTTTGTGCTCTACTGGGAAAATTGGTGGGGTAATTGGGAAAGGAGGATCTAATGTTAAGGTTGTACAGCAGGAAACAGGAGCTAGTATTCATGTTGAGGATGCATCAGCGGAGTCAGAAGAACGTGCAATTCGTGTCTCTGCTATGGAGGTCTAGCTGCTTTAAACATCAATACATGTTTGTATGCCTAGGTTTGGCGCTGCCTACAGATTTGTATATTACTGATATTTTAACAGCAGTCATCATACTGATATTGTTTCAGGGTCCCTGGAATCCAAGATCACAAACCATTGAAGCAATTCTTCAGCTTCAGAATAAAACAAGTGAATTTTCTGAAAAAGGTATGATAATTACTAGACTTCTGGTTCCGTCAAGTAAGGTTGGCTGTATCCTTGGACAAGGAGGTCAGGTTATCAATGAAATGAGGAGGAGATTGCAGGCAGACATTCGTGTTTACCCCAAGAATGAAAAGCCTAAATGTGCATCCGAAGATGAAGAGCTTGTACAGGTAACAACGTTGAATGAAGCACTTCACAATGAATATCTTTTGCCAATTTTAATGTTTTAACTGATGATGCTCTGATTTTTTCCCCTTATCCTTGGAGGTTGGTTATTATTTGAGCTAAACTTGATACTGGTTTTTTCAGATATCTGGAAATTATGGTGTTGCTAAAGATGCTTTAGCAGAGATTACATCAAGACTCAGAGCAAGAACTTTGCGAGATGCAAATGCTGGAACAGAACCTGGGCCTGTCCCGGGCATTGGGTCGGCACGAAACTTACCAGGAAGAGGACCCCCATCATCTGGTATGATGGGAGCTAGCAGCTCTGGTGGATACGAACTTCTTAGGGTAATTTTTTCCCCATATTTATGCACTGTGTAACTACCTGTTTAGTGTTTCTGATAAATTCAGTGATGAGGGTTATACATTGTTCTTGTTGGGAATTATTGTATTACTGCCACACTCAGGGCAGTAACTTGTACTTTTAGATTCTGTTTTTCTATAGTGATATATTTGAGACAATGTCTTTGTTGAACACATGCTGCAGTTCCATGAGGTACTTAGGAATGTCTGAATTGTGACAATAAATTGATTTATGTGCCACAGTCAGGAGTGTTTGAACTGAAAACAAACGTAATTCTTCTCCCTTCTGCTGCAAGTCAAGCATATGCTCTGTGTGTGTGTGTGTGTGTGCGTGCGTGCGTGCGTGTGTGTAATGTGGACGAAACATAGGTATAAACTCACAATGCTTGTTTCTCTCCATTATATAGATGGTTTGCCACTTTGCTTATGCTACTTTTTTCTTATAAAGAATTACAAGAATCATACATAGCAGAAGATACTATCAGTTAATGGTATTTTAGATGCTTAATTAGGATTCTTGAGCAGGCTGTTTTTAACTTTTTATTTAAAATTATTGTCAAGATATGCCCCTTTCATAACAACTATTCTTTCTGCTCTTCTGAAGGGTGGAAGATGTGATTATGAGCCTCAGAGTTATCCCATTCCTCCAGCTGCTACTGGGTATTTATGATATTGCTATTTTTGCAAGTACAAGTTAGCATTTGAATAATAATATGATTGAGTTCTTTGTTATTCTCCAAATTTCAGATACCCAAATATGAACCGGGTTTTGGAGGCTAGTAACTCTCGTAATATGAACTGTGTTTTGGAGGCCAATAATACACATAATGGAATGAATTCTGTTATGAGATCTGGAGGGCGTGATGTTTCAAGTACCAATGAGGTATGTTCTTAACATGGCTTGTGGTTTAGCAGAAGCATAGAAAATTGGTGAGGCATTGGACTTATTTTCTGATATAATTCTTGGTTCTTTTGGGAGATATCTACATACTGACATACACAATCCTGTGTACATTTGCATGAGCTTGGGACAACCGTAAAAATATTCCCATGTTTTTCAAATCGTGTAATTGAGTTTTGGAACTGCTTTTTCATCAATAATAGTTTATGAACTTTCAAGTTTTTGTGAAGTTCACCAAGGATCGTCTACTAGATGATTGATGACGCTGCTAAGTGGTTACATTAGCTTGTGACATGGCAGACCAGATCAACATAAATATAATTCACTTGGCATATCAACAAGTGACATTGACAACTAGTCTATTCCGCATTGCCTTTCGAGAATTCAGTAATCACAATTCAACTTGTTGAGTTGTCATTCTCGACCAATGAAAAAGTAACGCATGGTCGTATTTATGTGGACGAAACCATTCTAAGAGATCCTAAAATTTATCTCTAAGAATTGTCCTTCATTCTGCCTTTTATCGGTTGTTTTTCTGTTCTTATAGTGACCTTTTCTCTCTCCACACACAATTCTGGTGCCATCCATCTTTTCCTTTTGGTTTCATGGCGTCTCAAAACCAAATATTTTTCAAATTATTAAAATAGTATTGGCAGGCATAAGTTTAATTGCATTTAGCACGATTTTCACAGATAAAAATAGAAGTATCATTTTCCGAAGCTCTCTTTATATTTTTCCAGATACCAGTAAGTTTCATATGCCTCTGAATTCAAATAGATCATTTAGAGGAGAGTGAAGTTGGAGTAGACATTAGGAAACCAACTAAAATTGGTTAATACACTTAAAAAATACAATGGGCTGCTGCCTTTTACACCTGTCTACTCTGGAGATTGAGTTGTAACTTCCTAATTGTTGTATGATTTCTCTGACCTCTCTTCTGGTCTCTTTAGGCTAAACCAATTCCTGAACTCTTCTTGAGCTAAGCACATACCTAATACTAAAAGAAAACTAATATCTGAAAACTCTCATACTTGGCCCATTTCCTTGTTTTCTCTCTTCAACCACGTCCTGCATCTCTGCTGTAACCTTGTTCACACCTTTTGTTCCCCGTCACCCTCCATTTATGTTGCCCAACTGATTCATTTTTTGACTATCATGGTTTTCCTTGGACTCATCATCCATGCTTGATGACGTGGGTATATCTTGATTTTAGTAATGGTCTTGGAACTGGCCTTGCCATTGACAATATCATTCCCTGAAGGAATTTACACTGCCAGTACCATCTGTAACTAGTGTAAAGCACTATGAATAATGGCTCTACTCTGGTTCTTTCAAAACCATAAAATTGAAACATTTGATGGAATTAACCTTTACAGTTGGATGAATATTTGGAGTATCATATTAAATTTTGTTTTGCTCTGAACATTTGTATCGAATGTTTGTAATATTTTATTTTAGAAATTTTATTTCTGCAAAAGATTCTTAAATCAATTTCTACAAAAATGCAGGTTTCTGGAAGAAGGGTGAAGTTTCAACATCCTCATTATGGCAGTTCTGAAGTTGAAAATCATGGATCTTCTGAGCATTTGACTGCTGCTCAAGGTCTTTATCAAGCTTTCATGTCTTCTGGCGGACAGAACCTGAATTCCCACCAGGGTTCGTCCTACCAAAACAACGTAAATGCCCAGAAAAGCTCCTACCAAAGCATGAATTGTCAGCAAGACACCTATCAAAGCATGGGTGTTCAGCAGGACACCTACCAAAGCATGGGTGGTCAGCAGGACCCCTATCAAAGCATGAGTGGTCAGCAGGACCACTACCAAAGCATGAGTGCTCAGCAGAGCACCTACCAAAACATTCATGCTCAGCAGAACACGTACCAGAACGTGAGTGCTCAGCAGAGCCCCTATCAAAATATGAGGCCGCAGCAAAGCCCCTACGCAACGACTGCCCAGCAAGGTGTCTACACGAATATCAATGCTCCACACAGTGGTCAGCAAGGCACTTACCAGTACTGAGTATTGACTTTGATTTGCCCATTTTTGTACCATAATTTGTCATATAGTGTCTCAACTATAATAATCATTGGGAAAAAGGAGGAGGTTTCTTAACTACAACAGGTAGATCAACTTATCAGCAGGACAGGATGCAGTGGTTGTTTTAGCTGTGACATTTTCTTGGGGATTATTAGTTGAATGGAGGTACAATTTTGGCTTGGCTTATGCAAATTGTTAACTTATGAGTAGAGAAATAGACATGTTTTTTGTTCTATCTTTAAAATCTGAATAGTCAGAATCTTCCGAGGAAGTGAAATCTGTTGTAAATCGATGTAATTCCTGCGTTGGTTCCATGACTTCTTGCATTATTAAAAACTTAGATTGAGCTGATTTGGTCTCCAGGAGTGGGGTAATTATTGGCCGTCTCTTCAGCATATAAGCTCTGTTGTGGATGTGTACCAAAAAGCTTTCCAAGGAGCGAGTTCTCTTCTAAATCACTCTAGTATATTTTCGGAATGGATTGGTATGAATTCTTCTAAAAAGGATTCCACGAACTTTACAGCTCAATATTTATCCCTAATTCAATGCAGACAATGCTGTGCATACTCTAGGTACCAGATTTTGACGCAAATGCTGTGTGTATCTTGGCACCTTCTGGGCTCCATGGCAAAACAATTGGTAGCACATTGTTGTTGCTAATCCATGGTTGACCTAGTATGAAGTGGGATTCAGTCTGTACTGAAAAGTACAAGGTTCATCACGTATGGGCCTGGGTCATTTTGCACATGCAACACAGAAATGGATAAGAATCGTCTCGTATCCACCACTCAGCAACAAAGCAGCAGAAGAATTTCCAAACAGAGAGTCATTTCACATCCTGAATAAAAAAGTGCACCTTCAACTTGGCCACTTTAATTAGCGGCATTGTGGTGATCCATGTTGAAGATTTGATTTTGTTTGCATCACAATTCTATCTAGTGCTATGGAAAATCTTTTTCGTTGCCCACAAATGGAATTCTAATACAGTGCTAGTATCTTGTCATTTCAAAGCTGAAATCAAAAACTTGCATCACAACAGGAAGCATCACAAGCCATGTTTTATTGACTCTGCAATAGATTGAGTGTACCCATGCAATCAAACTTGTCGACATAAAATTGGTGCTAAGTTAGTGTAGTATCAAATTCTGCGATATCCTTGACTCGATACCACAGGCCCAATGACACGTGACTAACTGTTGAGGTGAGAATGCTGTCAGCACTTCACTTATTATCTATCATTCACTAAAACTAAGACTTTCCAATACATTTGAAGTATGTCAGAGTCCTGCATATGTCTAGTAGTAATAGAAACTTTAATTCCCACCTGAGATTTCCCGTGGGTTGCAGAGCTCTTGCAAAAAAGTTTATTTTTTTAAAAAACAATTTTTTTTTAATCACACTTTCAAGGCTCCTAACAAAATTAGTTTGTCAGGATACAAATCAGTGAACTCTTATTGTAAGAGATCGCTATAATTGAACAACAAACTCTATAATGCTCGTGCAAAAAAAAAAAAAAAAATTACCAACACAGTATTGCATCATCTTCAATATGATATTAGCCGAAATTGTAAACTAGCATGCTTATAATATTTTAACATTAGCTTTCCCATATTAAGATTAAATCCGTCTTCATAAAAGATGTTAAAAATAGAAAAAAAATTGAAATTTTGAAAATGAAAATAGGGACAATCATACCATCAAAGAATCAAACGAAATGACGCATACACTAGTAGTAGTTTCAAGCATAAAAATGCAGTCATAATCATATCTTGAATGAATCAAACAAAATATGACACATGAATTCCATTATTACCTACAAATATGAACTCAATTCGACATTCTCTAATGCTGCGTAGAGTTGAATCCTTTTCAACTGTGGTTTCCAAAATTCATAAAACTCCTGTAATGTTACAGTGTCCTTTTGACTTTCTTGCGCAATTAAAGTCAACTGTTTCTTCTGTCGCAGCATGGTTCACTCTGCTCATTGGTCAAGCATATTCCCACATTGTCAACATCAAATATTCAACGATATCCATAACCTACCTTCATTTTCATTTATTATCACAAATTTCATTAAAGAATTGTCAGAAACAAATCAAATATGGAAGAAAATATTCATCTACCCGTTCCCAATTACCTTGAACCTTACTTTTTCGTTGAGTTGGGATGCTAATCCAAATTAGAGAAAAAAAATTTATATTTATTGGAGTAGATTATAAATTAGTCCCTCTATTTTTCAAAAAACGAATTAATTATTTTTTATTTAAAACAATTAATCATTTAGTCTTCTGATCAGCATTAATCATGTTTAATTTAATATTATTTTATTTTTTAAAATATCATTTTTTCACCGGTCTTTCATATTTATTTTTACTTATTATTTTTTCTTTTTTCTATTTTTAAAAAATTAAAAATAACGAAATTATTAAGTTATAAGACAATTTAAAAATATAAGAAATAAATAATTAGTTTTTATAACAAAAGAGACTAATTAATTTATTTTTCTAAACTTAAAAGAGTGATTTATAATGTACTCATATTTATTGCCATGTCTTATTTATTTTATCGGGTATTTGTCTCAATTTTTTTTTTTTTTAGGTTTATTGATAGAATATCTATTGGATTTTTGGGTTACAAAAGAGGAGAGATAGCCTCCTCCTTTTCTCAATTTGTCTATTCGAAGTATAGGTGCTGCAATTATTCCTATTATTTTAATTTGCTACCAGGCACATTTGGATTATGTACACGATAAAAGATAGAGATAACTACAAAATTGGGGCATGTATTAAATGACTTTTTTTTTTTTAATTATTTCTTTTTCTAGCAAAATGGGAGGAATTCAGTACCTTCGTTAACTTCCTTTTTGAAAACTAATGATGTGCTTGTTAAATGGACTGGAAAAATGGCCCTATCTTGTAAACATCTCAAGGAGTTATTATAAAATTATTAACAAAAACATCTAAAATAAAATTAACAAAAACTCTGTTCACCACTTCACAAAATACTATTAGATTGAGCAGTGGCATTTTCATAAATTTTAGAACTTTTTGAGGCATTTTATGCCCTGCCTTCGGCACTTTTTGGAGCATTTTATTCGTTACATTTGACACTTTTTGTAGCATTTTATATGCTGCCTTACAAAATATTATTTACTACTTTGCACGATATATTACCCCACAAAACCTCTTTCATATATAATGTTTTGTAAATATTACACTTTGAGCCCTAATTTTTATATTTTAGACAAAAATTTAGAATTTGATTATTTTTTCTTTTTCAAAATAAATTGATATAATTTAGATAGTTGATTCTTTTATATATATATATATATATATATATATATATATATATATATTATTTATTTATTTATTTTTTCTGAAATACATTTTTTTGATTAAAAGGGTGTTGAAGATTATTTTCTTGATTTTTTTTTGAAAAAAATATGATTTTCAAAATAGTTAATTAATAATTGAAAGTCAAATCGAAAAGAAGAAGAAGAAGAAGAAGGCAATTGTTATGCTTGTGAGACTCGTGCAGTAAAGACTGGCCATGTATGGCTTAGAAATAAAAAAGTTATTTAAGAAGGAAAAAAAGAAGACAAGAATTTCACTTGTTTTATTTAGTTTTTCTTTATATAATCAAAGTTTATCAAAATTATTATTTTTTTCATATTTTTTATTTTAATCTATAAATTTCAAATTTATTCAATATATTCTTTATAAGTTAACTATTTTTTTTTTTTAATGTCTTTAGTTTTACATTACAAAATTTAAATCCACTCAGTATATTTATAATGTATAAAAAAAATTGAATCATTAGTTTTTATAAAAATCAACTATGCAACTATCAAAGTACTAAACATTTACTATTTATTTATTTATTGATATTTTAAATCAATTTCTTTCAAAGTAAATATATGAAATTATGTTTTTGCATAACTATCTTATGGAATGATTCAAATATAGTTTTTATTTTAATATTATTGATTTTTTTTTTGTGAATAAATATATAAAAATCAAATGTACATACTTTCAAAAACTAATATTATCATCAATATTGAATGAAAATAAATTTTTTTATTTGTTTATTTTTATGTCGGTTTTTACATTAATTGTTGCATTGTTTTTTTAAACACAATCTTTTGAAATACTAAGTTTTTTTTAATTATTGTTTTGTATTGAATTCTCTTTTTGTTTAAGAACCCATAGATAAAGAAGAATTAATCATTTTTTAGGTAGAAAACTTACGATAAATAAAAAGAAGAAATGGTTGAATATAAAATTGTTTTTTTTTTTTTTTTTTTTTAACCTTTGATTTCATATAATTTCATGTACTCACAACATAGCACAGATTGTTAAATTAAAATAATTTTTTCAAATAATTTCTCATGTTTTTTTTAATATGTAGCATAATACGGGCAAACAAACTAGTAGTATTTGTTCTAGCTGATTTTTTTTTTTTAAATAATTCTATGTTAGGTTTTCTTCTCTTTTATAGTCATTTTTCTAAATTCTCATCTCATTTGTGATAAAACATTAATTCTTTTAATGAAACACATCACACGGATCTCATTTATGATAATATTCATAAACTAGATGAAGAAACAAAATTACAAAAAAACTTAATTAACAAAACAAATGACAGAAAAACACTATAAATCAACATGATGCATAATTTAACATGATATAGTCATTAGAAACCACAAATCACGACTACAGCTTCATAAAAACCATAGGTAGCTTCCTCTAACCTCATTGACCAAATGTTGACAGCACATGTATCCATAAAAAAAATGAATACAGGCACTCAAATAAATAAATAAATAATCAACATATATTCAAATGAAAGTCAACGAAGGTACTCAACTGATAATAATTTTTCAGTATATATTTTTTTAGTAGGAAAAATAGTAATTAATGAATACATGCATTGAACTAGAAAAACTCATCTTGTTTAAGTATCAATTTTATAATTATAACTAAATTAAAGATAATGTCATTTTCTTTCTTTCAATTCCTCTCACCATTGATATGATCGAGAAATAGAAAGTGGCAGAGCGTGGACTAAAACACAAAATTAGGCTTGAAGAGTATTATTAAAAATTTAAAAATTTTAAGGGGCCATTAATTGATAAATTTTAAGAGACAATTTTGAAAATGACCAAAAAATTTAGGGACAATAGTAGATTTTTAAAATTTTTGTGAGGGTAAGGAAAGCGCCGCCCCTCAAATAGTTTGCCTAATACAACATCGAGAAGTTCTTATAATCTAAGGTTGTGTTTGATTTGGAATTAAAAAGCGGGAGGTATGATGTTGAGAAACAAAGCGTAAGAATGTGAAAAAAAAAGGGATTAAAATGTAAAATATTAAGAATGTTTGAAAGTGTATAAAAATAATTGATTATGTATAGTGATGGATCAAATAAATTTTAAATCAAAGTTAAAATGATATATATATATATATATATATGTGGGACCAGCGATTAATATCCACCCTCTTCTAAAAAAATTAAGTCAAATATTTTTTAAGTACTAATGACTTAATCTATTTTTGTATAATATATAAAATAATTTTTTTAATCTGTCATTATATTGCTAATTGAGTCAATTTTATTTTTAAATATATATTAAAATTTTGATTTATGCTTTTGTAATTATATTTTCACAAGATTATTTTTTTATACTCAAAATATTTTTACAAATCAATTAAATAAATAGGTTTTATGTGCAAATCGCATGACTAACTTCAATAATTTAACATGAAAATCTTGTTAGAAGAATGAATTAGGTATTTATTATATATTAAAAAATAAAATACAAAGATGTTAAAAATTTTTTTTATTATATAATAGCATATTTAACCTTTGACCTTTCTTTTAACTTAAAACCAATCACAACATAAATTAGCTAGCTAGCAAGCACTCACTCAACGTTGGTTGAGCCATTTTTGAAGCTAACCCACTACGTACAATCTTTTTGCGATCTTGTCTTCACTAACTTTTCATTTGTCAAGATTTCCATTCATGCATTGTCCCTAGCCTAATATATGCTGTGGGGTTAATCAATTTTATCATGTAGGAGCATTATTACTCCAATTAGATAAAAATAATTACTTTATATTATTATAAGAACTTGACATTGAATTTCCTTACGCCATTGATAAAAGGGATGGATATATGGATGAAGAGTTAAAATTCATATGACTTGCTGTGATAAATTGATTGTTTTGGTAAGGAAAAATCCAACTTTCAACAATTAACATATTCTTATGCAGAACGATACTAGTGCATTCATGAGGAAACTTTTAATCCCAAATATATGTGTGTGTGTAGATTTCTGCATTTATAGTTCTCGCTTGTTTACTAGAAAATTAATTTTCGTTGGGAAGTGAGTTTGAAGGAAAATGATTTCTAAGAAAACAGATTACTTTTTTATGTTTGGTTGTATCATGAAAAGTGATTTGGAAATCATTTTATGATGTTTTGTATTTAAGGAAGAATGAACTAGAAGATAATATTTTTGAGCTATTAAACTTTTTAAAATAATATAATGTTTTAGTTATTAATTTTTTTGGCCTTATTTATTCATTGGAAAATTAACTTTAGAAAATAAATTATTTTATTATATTTGGTCGTGCAATGAAAAAAGAGTTGAAAATATTTTCTAATGTCTTTGATCTATAATAAAAAAATCAGTTACAAAATTTGACTTGTAACATACAAAATAAAAAAGTGTTTTCTACACCTCAAACCAGTATCTAAATATAAATAATTCATTAAACAATTAAAGTATAAATTAATCGTTACCTATTTTGTAATTAATATTGCAAGTTAAATAGTTAAATAAAAATGAGGGAAAAAATATATGGAATGAAAAAAGAACAAATAAAATAAATTTTTTTACTATACAAATATTGATGAACAATAAACCTTAAAATAGTTTAAAATAATAATATGTAAATATAAATAATA